TTCCTTCAAGAGGATGATCCAAGCCTGGCTCAAGAGGCGGTCGATGCCTTGCGGGTGCCCGACAATCGGAAGCTGATGGTGAACCTGATCCTTCATACTTCAGACATCTCCAATTCGATGAAGCCCTTCCGCATCAGTCGAATCTGGGCCTGGCAAGTCTTGGAAGAGTTCTTCCTGCAAGGCGATGCAGAAGCAAGAATCGGAGTGCCAGTCCAAGCGCTCAATGACCGCAACACCGTGAACCGGCCCTTCTCTCAGGTTGGCTTCATTGAGTTCTTGGTCTCTCCACTGATCTTTGCCGCCATGAGAATCCTTCCAGCGACTGAGCATCTGGCGGTGCAGATGCTGATGAATGCCAGGTCATGGCAGAAGCAGTGGGAAAATGAGGGGAAGGTCCCACCATCGGACCATGACAAGAAGCTCCTGAACGAGCGAATCATCAAGATGGAGAACAAATTCCGAAGCTGCCAGGCTGGCAAGAGTGCGCCCGAGAAGCTGGACCGATGAGTTCGGCCAAAGCCGGCACATGGCTCCAGGCCTTCACGGCCCCGAGGGGGCCGGGTTTCACCTGCGCGCTGATGCGGCACACCTCGCGAACGGCAAGGCGTCCGGAAGCCTGGAGGTCTTGCCGTGGGGTTGAAACTCATTGCCAGTGACAGTAAAAGAGGTGTCCGCGGCGTCTCCCAAAGTTTAGCGATTTGTCAGTCTGATTCCGAGCACCGTGCAAGCTGGAGGCGTCCCACCGCCTGGTCCCACCTAATCATCACACCAAAGTTGTGCGATAAGACTGAGAAACCGAGGTCTGGAAGTGAGTCAGAGACAGCAAAGCGTGGTTTCATTGTGAAAAAGCGAGCGGCGAGCCAAGCTCAATGGAGCTGAGTGAGAGATAGTGAGACTCAATTCAGAATGAAGATGTATATAGATCTAACTAGAAACGTTGTATTTTGGCTTGTTCTTTTGCCGGGTTGATCACGCTATGGGCTTGGGAGCCAAAGTGTGGATGAAACATCCCTAGCCTTCAATGGGCCTCAGACTCAGTGCCATTTTGGGGTTCCCAAGATATCCCAATATTGTGTTTGTCCAACAGCGGCTGTGAGTCAAAACTCAAAACCTGAAAAGGAGTGGGTCAGAAGGTTTACAGTTTTTGAATGTTTCGCTCTTTGCACTGCGTCGATCACGTGGTGAGCAACCCGTTCCCCCCCCAAGAATCCAGGCCATTTGATATCTCTGCGACTTCATTTTTGTGCGGTGCCACCAGACTGTCATGGTTTTGTCCTACATCCGTATCATATCGCAGGATGTTATGCTGCTGCCTTTGAATTTCAGGTTCAATCAAGAGTCAAGAGCTGACAGCTGGTATATATAGAGAATTAGTGATGAATGTAGCAATTCAAATCAACACAGATTGATGTTTCAGCCACTTGCATGATTGCTTCTTGATCAACGACGCAACGATCAAGCCTTGCCCATCCGCAGCTGCAGCCGAGCCAAATGCATAATTGATCCAAGTTAACAGGAGGTGTGCAGATCACAACAGGCTCAATCTTCTGACAGAGCAGCTAGAAAGTTCTATTTGCAAAAGAAATCATGCGCAAGAGATAATGTAGCTCAGTCAATCATTTCCAGTGTTCAAGAGCTCTCAGGTGAATTGTAGCAGGCAATCAAGCCACAACATAACACAAAGTCCTTCATGGTTATGCCACTCGACTAAGTGGGTGCCCGACTGAAATTAGTCCTATCACAAAATCGGGCTACGGGTAACAGTTCAATGTGTGTAAAGATGTTATTCCTGGAAGGAGGTTAGTCAGTTGATTCCTACCATCTCCAGTCTCTTTGCGACGATCTCGCTTAGCCGGCTTAGCCGGCGCTGGTGCTGAGATCACGTGAGGTGTTGGCCGAAACAGTCGGGCAAGTCACTGTTTCAAGTCATTGCTTTTGCTAAGCGTTGGCTGGAATATGCGCTGTTCTTGATGTTGGCCCAAGTTGAGGGCATGGGGTCAGATGTTGAGGTACAGAAGATAGTATGGTTCCGTGGGCTCTCAAAGGTAGGCTGATTGGAATCCGTTGCACGGGTGGGTGTCGCGGGTACTGTTTGGTACTTTTTATGTATATATGCAGACCGCTGTGTCAAGCTGCTTGGCAAACTGTTGGTTAATGGCCTTCACTGTTACCTTAAAACACACATGCTATTCATCGCAACGCTGTGATGTTGAATGAACTCCGATACTTCATGGTGGTTCTTACTTGCTCGGGTCCACCAGTCCACCAGTCTTGTAACACTTTCAGACGGTTTCAGATGCATTGAAGCAAAACGTGGCACTTATGATGAGCTATGATTCGATCCACTTTGAGCTATTAGGTTGGAGGCCATCGCTCTTAGGTTGGAGGCCATTGCTCTTGGGTTGGAGGCCATTAGATCCATTACATTTACTTTCAGCAGGCTTCGCCAAAGGCTCTCAGAGCTCACTGATCATCACTGATCCATTGCTCACCGAACGCACGCACGTGGTCCAATTCATTAAACGACCTGCTCAGACCTGGCGGTGTGCGTCACCCACTAAAGCAGCGCCAAAATGCAGACCCTCGCAGTCTCATGCGGTCCACTTAGGAACTGAAATGGGGTGGCTTAAGAATCAAGATGTGGGGTGGCAACAGTGGTCTTTTTTTGTTTTGAGTCGGCCGCATGGTTGTTCTGGATCTATAGGTTCACGATGACGGTCTGATAATATTTGATCGACCTGGAAATTGTTCGCCTTTCATTGTTGTTGTTCAATTTGAATGAACTCAAACTGACACAGAGTCATTGAATGATAGTACCAACCGCTCAAGATGTTCCGGTCAGATGGCGTATATTTGTATGTTGCAATGGCCAAGAATCTTGGAAAAAGACCATAGAGGCCCTAAATGGCCAAAATGAAGGACCATGTGAAGTTATATGAGTTGTTTTCAAAATTATCGTCATTGACTTTATACAAGGGTGTTTCATCCAAGAGTGTGATTTCGGGTGTTCCTTGGAAAACGATACGGGACGTCCCAAAAAACGATACCTCTCTTGTTACATGCATTAGTTCCTTGAGTTTTCCTGAGTTCGTTTTGGTATGTCCTCCTGCTACAGCAACTCGTCTGAGCATTTGTGCTCAAGGGTCTGAAGGGCGTCACTTCATGAACTGGTTTGTTCTTGCAAGTGTCACAGGCAATTACGGACTGTGATTGCCTGTGTTTGGAGGGCTGTGTCCTGGCTCTTGGCTCATGGGCTGGCCCCATCTATGAGGAAAGGCTACGCCGGCGCTCCACCACTGAACAAGATACACCGAGAGAGTGCAAAAGGGAAGCTCCTTAGAGTGCCCCATGGGCAAGTCAGCAAAGGTGCAGGCAGGCCTGCGGCGTCTTCTAGTGAAAGAGATCACGTCAGCAAACGAGCGGCAGAAGCCAGCAATGTTGCGCTTGCTGTGTTGCGCTTGCTGGAGCAGCCCTTTGCAACCGTGCTGTTGTCCTTCCTCACTTCACAGAGCTCGTCACACTTCCAGTGTTTGCGGGGGATGCTCTCAGATCACGAATGATCACGAAAACGGGTTCCTGTGTCTTGCTGTTTGTGCGTTTGCGTTTTTGTTTTGTTTGTTGTGTTCCTTGACGTTCATTGTTGGTGGCAAGACTCCACCATGCGAAAACATGCAAAAAACTGCAAGTGGACACGTGCAGTCCAGTGCTCATTCTACCAAAAATTGTAAAACGATACAGGACGTCCTAACTTTGAATGAATACAGCAAAGAGCAAGTATATAATTTAGAAACCAACTCATACGAGCATCGGACAAACTCTGCAAAGACTAAAGTAAAGTAGTCGCAGGGTGCACGTGGGAATGGGAAACCTGCAAAGTCAATGGGGGGCCGACCCTTTCTAGGCATTTGTAGGCTATGTCCTTACGCTGGATACGAGATTTTGTCCGACACTGATATATATAGTATATATATAACTCATATAATATATGTCTCCATATACACTATACATCCCTGCAAGTCCGATGGTTCAGTTTAACGAGGTCACGGTCAAATGGGCTAGTTTAACGGGATCATCGGAAACCAGCCCGCCCTTTATCTCACCTGCATCATCGTCACCACGCTTGCTCCATGTTGGTCCTCCTGAGCAACGATCGATATATCAAAAGCAATATCATCAGAAAAAACAAAGAAACGACCACTTTGACTCAACGCAGTCCTTGAGATGCGCTTCTTTGCACATGCCAACCTGGCCAAAAGTCAAAAATGCTGGCTAAACCTCGCCAGGAAAACCTGGCCTCAATTGCATCAACTTGGCAACTTTGCGCAAATATGATCAAATATGCCTCCACGTGCCGGCCCTTGAATGGTGGAAGACACCTTCTTCAGAGTCCCTGTTGTCTCCTCCTCCGCAAACCAGTGTGCAAAGCGGCTATTGTATCTTTATCCACATGCACAAATTGGCAAATTTCACCATATACACATTCAGATCTAGTTTTCAGTTGCGGATCTGTACTTGCGTGTGCACTCCAACAAATGCTTGAACATGTGCATCTATCATCTACTATGGTTTTACAAACCAGGTTTGCAAGCCTTTTACACCATGTTGGACGGTGGCCTCGAGTCCGGCATGGTAAAGAACGGGCCGCTAGTTTTTTGCGCCATACTCGGTCCCGCGCCGCGTGCGCGCGCCGCCCGCAAGTCGGAAGCTGGGGTGGTGCAGAGCGCGCGCGGCACCATCTGGCGGAATCGCCACATTCTGCGCGCCAAGGGGGAATTGAACCACCACAGAGTTCCAAAAGGGGGAAATGTCGAAAATTTGGTCAGAATCTGGCTATTTCTCGCAAAGCGATGGTTCATTGCCAAGGCCCAGGACTATACATATACCGTATACCAAACTAATCCTCAGGAGCACGCCGGCACCGGTGCGCTCACGCTCACGTTCTCTTGGTCCTAGAACGGGGTCGGCAGATTATAGGATGCTCGTGAGTCACCTGGCCAGGAATGGCTAGACAAAGGACTTTGCGACTGATGGCAGGTGTCTTGGCTCACCAGGAGGGCCATATCCAGGTGGTTCCATGTCCTAGGTCCTACGCCGAAGGCTTTGCATAAATTAACCCGGACACCGCTTCAAGACCCTGAGACCATTTGAGACTGAGACTGTTGGTTTGGTTTCTGACCCTCGGGGTTGGTGATGTAATTGGATTGAGTGAAAAGGCCGTTATCCTCTTCTTTTGGGATCTAGTTACCAGATGTTACCAGCCGGCAAGTTGTTTGTTTTTTGTTTGGCTTCATGCACTTTGTACACACACTGTTGCTGTGTTTGATTATAGACTGCAGACAAGTTCTCCAGTTCTTCTGCGGTGGCCATACCAACGAATCAGGGGCTCAGGTTGGCGACCTAGAAAGACTCGATTCGTTCATCAACACTAAGTGACTTGGACATTGTTTTGGATATTTTTTGGTTGCACATTGGCAAATCCCGATCATAGGATGATAACATACTGTATTTTGCATCAATATACATTGTTGGTCTAAAAGTCCTTGGTTGGTCTTTTGGAAAAAACTGCCTGTCCGGTGTTTTTCAATGCCTTCGCGGAAGGTATTGTTTCTTGTGATACATTTCTGACAAGTTCACTTCCAACACATGACATCACATAACTATAGGATATGTTCTTTTAACACACGTCGCGATAGGTCTGTGAAAAACTCGCCAGAGTTAGAGTTGTTGTTGTTGTTGTTGTTGTTGTTGTTGTTGTTTTTTAATTGTATTTGCAAAGAGTTGCCACTCCCGAGAAAAGGAATCTTGATCAACCCAACCACCACCATGTTTTGGTTTCGGCGACCATGGTGCCTCGCGCGACTCGAAGGTGGACTTGGTCGCTCTTACTCTGTGAGGCTTGGCAGTGCTGTTTGCCGAATTGGCCTAAGGACATGGTATTTTAGGCTAGAGGACACTTCACCGGTGCTGGCAGAGGACCTACACTCCGACGAACAAGTCACCTAGAAGTGGAAAACCATCTTAGCTATAGGGGCTTCAAAGACCATGTTTCACTTCCATGTTGATCATGTTGGTGACTCGGAGCGTACGCACGCATCACTTAAAGATTTGTGTGGTATGTACATCTATCATATGTGTATATATATATACATACATATGTATGCTATACTATTCTATTTATCCCCCGTGACTATTAAAAAAAACGTTGTTCACCCTCATTTCATGGAGAGGGCATTGCTTTACAGTGTTTTAGAAACCTTTCTCTGCATTTTATAGGGTGATGTTTGCTTGTTCTGGTGGCCTTCTTGGCATGCCTTGTGAACAATTGACAAGTTTTTAAAGAGGAGTAGGGTGTAGCACGCCGTTTTGTTTTTTTTGAATAGTCCTAGAGATCTAGTTTGACTTTTTATAGTACCAATGCCGTGAGAGCATGTGGATTTGGAAGAAGATTTAATGGAGAATTTACGTGTTGACATGTATGGCAACGTTCGCACCTGGAAAGAACACTTTTGCTGCAGAAACACGCAGTTGCGCTGTAGTTTATAGGAAGGACATGTGTGAAGCAACACGTGTGGAAGAGTTTGCACGTGGAATTGCATATTATTTATGGATAGCTCATTGGCGCATTGGGATATATACAATCTTTGTAAATTAACTAGGAAGAGATAAAATCCCGATGTGGACAATGGCGAGAGATTACATTGTTTAAACTGACTGGCAAGAGATAACACCGACCTTTTCTAGAGAAAAACTAGATATATGCATTTATATATTACAAAATATATCGTTTTTTGGTGTAAATTTAGAGGAAAAAATGTATGGTTTGATAGGTTTTGATTATTCTTTATTTGGTTTGTCATGCTATTATGAAATTATATGTGGCATCAATACTTGGTCTCATTCATTTGTTATTTTCATTTTATACAGATCTCTTGTTTTGGCTGTTAGGATATGGGTCATTTTATAGAGGCTACACCTGTCCATCCCTCAAATGATCTTGAATCAGAATGCCATGTGGTTTATCATTTTATACAAACACCCTTGCCATTCATTGTTTACAGATGTTCATCTCTTGTCACCCATTTTCAAGAGACATCATTTATCTATAGAGTGCCCGGCAAGTGATCCCAGCCATCATTCAGCGAAAGCCTGCTTGAAGAACGAAGCTAAGGGTTGCATTGTGAGGTTTGGGCATGTTCCGCTGGGAGATCGGTGAATTATGGCGATGACCGATGACCCGTTCTTTTTGTGACATCATCCCACATCAAGATAATTCGTGATCATGTGTCCATAAGAGGTGTTTGACCTCCATTCAGAACTTGAATATTCAACTATTAATGGGATTGATTCAAGGCATGAAGGTAGTTGAAGTATACAGTATAATACGGTATATACAACATTGCAAATTGTTCCAGAGACATTTTTCTGGATAAGAATGTTGCACTGGGCCCCCGCAGCAGGGGAACGCGGCTAACACCTCGTGGCGGGGCGCTGTTCACACAGGTACCTGGCGACGGGCAGCCAAAGGCAGCGCATTCATTTTTGGGGGAAGGAGCATCGCCCCCAAGAAACAGAAGATCTACTGGTGACTACCCTCTCTAAAAGCAACATGTTGAAGTGGACCATGACCCTTATGACTTCTCAGAATACATACCGTTTTGCACTTGCTATATATCCTGGATGTTGTCCACTCTAATTGTTGGAGGTGGATTGTTTTGCCAAGATTTGCAAAGAAGGCTTTTGCCTATGCAGTAAGCCACATGCATTGAGGTCCCCAAATTTAGCATGCTGTTTCTTGCCCAAAGAGGATGTTATTTTTTTAGTGGACTTCTTATGTATTTAAAGATGTTCGATAGACATCCAAATTGAATCCACTTGCAACATGCATTTCAGAGCTTGGTGGTCAAACCAAGTGTGAACCGAACCGGTAGATGAACCCCATGAAATCACAGATGGATCGCCTGCGGTCTTTGGACAAAGGTCGCACACGGTAAGCAATGCACACAATCTGAGAGTGTGATGTGTAGCGACATTTGCAAACCCTACTCACCCCAGGTTGGATGAGAGGTTTGGCAACGTTTTGAGTGCAGAGTGCACTCCAAATCAAGAGTCAACCAGGTTATGATTACATGTGTGCATTTGCTTGCACAACATGACATCATCTTCACGTCCACTGCCGCATTGCAGCTGCGGAGTCCCTCCCAAAAAAGTCGTTGCTCTAGACGTTCTTGTGATGTTCACCACACCCAAGATGGACTCTCAACGTCGGATGACGTGCAAAGCAGATGAGGGAGGACTCTCATTCGCCCAGGAGGCTTCAACTCGATTTGGGCGCAGGCTGTATCCCCAAGGCGGCCAGGCTGCAGTGAGGTCTGGTGGAGTTCGTCTGGTCTGGTAGCAAGAATGCTCCGTTCGTTCCGATGCCAAGAGCCCCTAGTAGCGTCCTTGCTCCTAGTAGTAAGGCCAGGAGCCCCTAGTAGCTTCTTGTTAGTATAATGCGTGTTTTAAGGGGGGCTACCGGATGTGCTTCTTCAACACAGGGATCCTTAGCTTTGTTGAGGACACAAACATGCTTTTTCCATGTGCAATGCCGCTGCATTTTGGACGACACACATCTCTCACGAGGTTCGTGGATAGTGCGGGTAGTGCTCACTATGGAAAAATTGCTGGGTACCCAATGTTGAGTTTGTTGCTGATACCAGTGACGCCACGAGGTGTGTTGATGTTTGTAGGAAACTCCATTCATGGTAACTGGAACTCTGGTTTTTGCAACTGAGTCTTAATTTTGGGCAAGCCAAAATGCCTCTGACTGACTACAGTAAGAAAAAACAAATCTGTTGCTCCATTAGGGGCTGCAACCATACAACCATGCATTGATCATTGATCCATTTGAAGATCATCAAAATCTCTAGTCTCCTGCTACAAAGACTCTTGGGCTAGTTTTTGGAACTGGAAGTAACTTTGTGTTTTTTCAATCTAGCCGGGTGGTGCCCAGCCCTCCTACACCGTACAATAAACACATACACACATAGTTTTGCAAACCAAGTGCGTGCTCTTATTGGCCAGCTAAAATCTCTATGATGAGGCTGCATAGATGTTGAGTGATCAAACCACGAAGATGTGAAATGTGGTAAAGACGAAGATGTGAATTGTGTGAAAAAGCCACTTCACGGTAAGCATCTTCCTTGGATGAAAGAAGGAGGGAAGACAAAGGAGTGGCTGCCATTCAGCACAGCATCAGCACAAGCGTGCAAGGTTTAACAGGCAATTGTTGTATAGCACATGTCCTTCTTGCTTGGCCTTGGCTCTTGGTCCCTGCTCCCACCAAGCATTGCACAAGCCTTCAATCACATACCAATCAGACACCACAATTTGCCATTCAAAGCAAAAACCATTGCAATGTGCAATAAGATTCACTCACAAACTTGCTTTGCTTCAGGCTTCTTCACCCTTGTGATTTGCAGCACGTACACACATTTCAGACCAATGCTGGGCACGACAGATTTGCATTCTGGGTCCTTTTTTTTTTGGTACGCATAAAAGGTACACAGCTAGGAGGCCAAGGTCCAAGCCCCATGAAGCACACTGCCAAGCTACCCACGCCTCAGGTCAATCAAGTCATCACATTGTTTGGAAACTTGATGGCCAAACTAGTGAGGGGAGAGTTCAACAGCTAGCTGCACAATGCATCAACATTCAACATCCAAACCTCAAAACACTTCAAAGTTTCTAGGTTCGACAGGTCTCAGCCTGTGGTGTGGTTGAAATGCCTGCCACCATTGGAGCGGCAATTTGGACATGCTACGTCGCTACGTTGCATGCAACGGTTTGATTGGATGGAGGCCTCCACAGCCCAGCGTTTGGTTCTGCAGGAATGTTTTCTACGTTTTATACAATCAAATATGTTTGTTTACATTTTGTGTTTCTTTTGTATTTGCGTTGAACATTTGAAACCAGGCCAGATTTTGAAGGGTAAGTTTGGAGCAAAGAAGTGCAAAAGGTCTCCTTTGAAGAAAAACTCAAGGACCAATGATCCTGTGGAATTTTTGGAATGAGCTGTCGCGTGTGTGTTTGAAATGGAAGTGGTGTTGGCTCTGTTAAGTTGGGCCCTAGCTAGAAAGTTTGACGACCATGACCATTCTCAGCCAGTCTTATTTTGTTTGCTCCAAAAAAAAGATTTCAACCATAAACGCACCACAGCGCTCTTCATAGACAACTCATTCACGAACTGACTCACTCATTCATCACTCGCTCACGCATTCACTCAGTAGGCTTTAGCAAAGCAGGGCGGCATTTTAGACAGAAAACTAGGCAACTTGACCAAAACCAGATGGGAGAACACATAACCCTAAGGAGGGGCGTTTTTCCCGTTTTTTTTTCATTTTGTTTTAATTTGTTGTCGGATTCTGCTTTTGCTGCGTTTCTGCTTCTGCTGCTTTTTTGCTTTTGTTGCTTTTCTGCTTTTGCTTTTCTGCTTCTGCTGCTTTTGTTGCTTTTCTGCTTTTGCTGCTTTTCTGCCTGCTTCTGCTGCTTTTCTGCTTTTTGTGTTTTTGTGTTTCTGCTCTTTGCTTTTGTTGCTTTTCTGCTTTGGCAGCTGTTCTCCTTTCTCTTTTTGCTTTTGCTTTTCCATCTGTTTGCTTTCTAACCTTTGGATTTGGTGTGCTGCTGGGGGGGGCGCTGCGCCCCCCCCCAACCCCCCCTGCGCCACGAAATCTGCACTTCATCTCCGACACCCGCGCCTGCCACGAAATCAATATTTTAAGGTGAACTCCCCGGGGCATAAACTTCTAACCAATCATATATATGCCTTCTGTGCTGGTTCTCTTTCTCTTTACTGTTTCTCTGCTAACGTAGGACTTTCTATGACACGTATACACTATTCCAATATTTTGCCAGCTACGACAGCTCCCAAATTAGTCTAATCAGCTAGCAATTAATATGAAACCTGCACTATTCCAATGTATTTGGCCAACTACGACACCTGTGTCCTGGCTAAGGACACAAAATTGCTGTAATTAGCTAGGTACTAATAAGAAACCTGCTCTATTCCAATGTTTTTGAAAAAAAAACATCGAAAAAAGATGAAAAAACATCCAAAATTAAACGTGCACCCTAACCCTAAGTAGGAACAAGCATCATCCTTGCATGAGGGTCATCATGCAAAGTGTTTGTGTAGTAGTGTATGCTTGTGTGTATGGGCATTGTGTTGAGCATGAGCATATAAACATGAACACAATGCCACTCTGAAACCGTTTTCAACACCCGAGTTCCAGTTGCCATGAATGCAGGTACGGGTGAAGGCAAAAGTGTCACGAACAGAAAACATTACATGTACAGTACATGGAGAAGACAATTAGGCACAACAAATTGTAGCAATTCTTTACGGCAAAATTATTTACAGTATATGTCATTTTATAGCTTAGCAATTGATCTCCCTATCAACAGCTGTGCAAAGACACTGGTTACCGGTTGAAAGAACCCTTTGTGCCATGAGAACCCATGACTCCATTCACCAGGACCCTGTTGTTGGGGGGGGTCCTCAGCGTTTTTGAGACACTCATTTGTCGTAGTTGTAGTAGCATGTAGCCTGCGCAATGTCCACACCTTCACTGAACAATTCCAGATCCCTAGCAATGCATGTGCCACTTTCAGACCTTGGCACTTTGCCGAGGCCGGTCTTGGTGAGGATGCCTTCTTTGTGCCTGAGATGGATGTGGTTCGGAGTTGGGGGAAATTCTGAAGGAAATCTGCCCAAATTCCAAACTCCACGAGGTGCATATATTCGATTATGCATGATTCTGCCATGTTTACGGTCTGAAGTTGCCCATGTTTCGACCAGAACATCCTGACGGAAGTCGCCAAATTCCAAAACTTGTTTTTTTCGGTTCCCTGGGGTTCCATGCAGTTACTGTATTGTTTTTTGGCGCGCGTTTGCACTCATGTCCACGACAGGTATTTGGATGCATTTGGTCCATCATGGTCACCCACCACAAAAGTTGTTGGTCACTCCGTGGATTTTCAAAATCAGGAAAACAACGTGTTCAATTCCACTTGAAGCTGGTACATGCCATGTACTCTCATGTCCGTTATATATTTTTTCCATGGAAAATACATGATGATTATGGTCAGCCGATCGTCACCGGCGCGCTGTTCTTGTCACCGGCAGACGGGTCATTTGCCCAGGCGTCCTCGTCGCTGTCTTCCTTCGGCCTGGCCGATGGCGTGGGCGGCTGGGCGGACCGAGTGACTCGGCCGAGAACCGAAAGCGTGGCTGTGGGCAGTGGAGGGCACGGTGTTGCAGAAAAAAAGGCCAAAACATGAGCTGTCAAGATAGGCCTGTTGTATTTTGTTGCGGGATTATATCGAAGAAGATCTCAATCAAGAACTGGCCAGTTTGGGAGAAAGAACATGTAATCAGATTCAACGTTCAGGCATCTTCAGGCCATGCACAAGCAGACACGAAGGCAGGACTGGTTAGCCCTGAACCGCTGACCAGTAGATATTTAGGGTTGTGTGTCTAACTGGTTGAACAGACCTTCCAAAAAACTGTGCCACACCAGCCCGGACATTCTCGCTTTTGCGCTGCGAAGCCCTGCAAGGGTGTGGATGCTGGAAAGTTCTCGCGCGCCTTGTGGGAAGCTGAGTGAAGATGTTTGGTTTGCATACATGACTGGCTGGTGCTTAGGGAATGATTCCCTCACTATAGATCTGCTAAGACAAACGGGAAAACCGTCGCTGGGAAGCTGAAAATCGGATCTCCCGGCCCTCCGCAAGTGACGCCGCAGTCGGACATGTTTGGTACAAAATGCAAATGTCAAGCGTATTGCAAAACAGTAGCTTCTATATAATAACAAAAAATGACAAATGATGATAGATTCATAAATTCGTTTTAATGTTAAATAGATCAATAGATATATATTAGTATTAAATAGTAACTCCATAGTGCAAATAGATCAACATAGTATCTCTTACAACAATCGCTTACCAATAGTAACTACCATGGAACTGGTTCGGTTCGCATTTGAGCTTCTCTCAATCTGAAGCGACATGGCTACGACCTTCCCCATAAGCGGTTCCAAACATAGCACCTCAATTCTCAGTGCTTCATTCCCCTTCCGTGTCGCTACTGACGCCCCCCCAAAAAGAGTCATCGAGACTTGGAAAAGTCGCTGTTCCCAACTAACAAGGTTCGCTACTAGGGGCTCCTGGCCTTACTACTAGGAGCAAGGACGCTACGAGGGGCTCCTGGCCTCACTACTATTAGCATTCTTACTACTAGGAACAATAAAGCTACTATTTTCTTACTGAAGCATGTTCGTTTCCAAACGGAATGAAACGCTAAGGGCAGGGAGTTACAAACACCGGACGCGTCCACCTGCGGCTCCGTCGTGGCTCCGTTCGCTGCGAGCGACCTTGGAAGATCGACCCTTCGCTTCCAGTTCTCGGCTCTTCCAGTTACTAGTAACAAGTGCCACGCTAGTAGTAACAGGTGCCTGACTAATAGTAACAATGTTTGCTATTAGAATTAAAGCTAAAAGTAAACTTAAATCGTACTACTAGTAAGGCACCTGTTACTACTAGTAAGGCACTTGCTCCTAGTAGCGATGCACTTGTTCCTAGTAGCTTATTTAATTTAATACCTTTCTTCCGTTTCTTTTTCTTTGTTTCTAATAGCGATGGCCTCCACCTAATCGCATTCTAGTCCATGAAGAGATACTGGAACTCCGAAGATGTTTCGTTTCTACACAAGTTTACTGTACACGGATCCTGCAGGCATCAATCCCCAAATCCGTCACGTTCCAGGTGCCCGTTAATTTGCTGGTCAACACGATCGTTTCTTCCGGGATCGAATCATAAGGCTTCGCAGTGCACACGAGCAGATGAGGAGATAAAGTTGTGAGTTGTGGGGACGTGGTGGTGGGTACAAGTCCCTCATTGAGGAGCCCTCAACATCGTTTGCAATACATACACAAGTCATATATATATATACACATGTATATATATATATTATAGTACCCCGATCTTTGCTTCCTGCCCTTTGCTCTCACTATGCTTTGTGTGATCCTGACACTCCTTTGTTCAAAAATACACAGACTGCAGAGACAATGCTCACAGATTTGGCTCTTTCCAATCTGGTTCAGTATAAAGTTGCCTTTGTTAAAAGAGAATGGAATTCAATCTATGTCATACTTGCCTACATACATATATACAGTTTGTCGTTCTCTAGAATTGCATACCTGCTTTTAATCAGAAAACCTTCCTGCCCGTGGGTCCATTCTTGCAGCTGATTTAAAGCATACAACTGCCTCGCACCTGCTTTTAGTAAAATCACATGTGGTTACGCTTGGCTGCAGGTGGTTTGCTTGAAGCATTCTAATTGAATCGAAAGCTGCGGTTTGTTTCTGTGAAAGCATGGAATTGAACACATTGAGCAGGTATTATTCTTGAAAGGAGCTTCGTTCAAGCGCCACCGTTTCTAAAAGGCATGAGTTCCTTTGCAATTATATATATAAATATATATATGTATATTTGAAGCTTTATACTCCTCTCCATTGTCGCAGCTCTCACCCTCCTCCCTGTCGGGCTGCGTGGCACTCTCCTTGCGACAATCCTGGATGTTGGCAAGATGGCCATCAGCACTGCCTTGGCAAAGCTCTTGGTCACTCTTTTGACCATCGCCTTCAGTTGGGTCTCCAGCCTCAGAGTTCATCCCTTCCTGGCCATGCTTCTGCTCACCATGGAGGGCTTCCTTGTTAAGGCTATGATTCTCATCTTCCTCACCTGCTCCAGGTTCAATGAATCACGAGGTAGACTATTCACCATTTGTGCTTTGGATGTTCACCGTTTCCGCGCGGCTTTGACCCACAGCTAACCATGGACCAATTCTTGATACTTTCAGCCTTTCGGTACCAACAATATGTGGTTAGGGAAAGCGCAGAGGAAGATGCATCCTAAGAATGTCCAGAAACCGCGACAGCAGCAAGATGTACAATCTAATTATATGTATACAATGTATGTACGTGTCTTTTTTACAGAAGATGTTGGCTACTGTTGCCTTGGCACTGTGTTTGTACCGATTCATAAACAGTGTCGCATCAATTCAGCTCTTTGCGAAAGACGACATATCAGCAACTGTGCAATCCAAAAGGTTTCCTTCTCACCCAGCCAGTTGCACATGTTGATGCTAGTTTTTCAATGCTTTTCACAGATGGTTTTCCCCACGGACCCCACACGGACCCCTCCGGTGGCTTTTCACCAGGACGCGGCAAGCGGCCTTGCAACGTGCGGACCTGGCCGGGGTGGCGCGCGAGGCCTTTCAGGCGGGCAAAGCGATGCGAGGTTTGAAACGAAACAAGGAGAAGTTGTCTCTTGCAAACCCGATGTTTCGATACGCCGATAAGCAAACTGAGCTTGGTTTGGTTGACTTGATTACTTGATAGAATGTAAGCAGTGTAAGCCATAGAGTCTGCCATAGAGGGAGGTAGTTTTGGCAGTTGGAGGCATGGGTCCCAGTTTTGCTTTGAGCAAGAATGTCCGATGTTCAAAAACAACAATAGAATAAGTTGGTCCGAAACCTCTCACTGTTTTGAGCGAAATTGCACGTGTGTCCTTTCATTTTGTCATTGTTTCCCTTGCATGTCACTTTTGAGAACCTCGCAACCACCCGTGTGTACAGTTAAACGAGGAAACACCCCAAATTGAAGTTGGTTTTGGTAATCTCATCGTGTATTAGAATCTGAGCTCCCTCAACCGAAAGAAATCCCACACTCAAGAAGAAGCTCGCAAGAGCGTAAAGCTCTGAGGAATGCAGGAAGTGAACTTATCCCTGTACTGCTTTAAACTTATATATATATAATTGCAAAGCAACGCTGTAGACAGCGTTGGCCATACTTATAAGGTTCACACTGTGAAGACTCCCCGTGGGAGAACGCAACTATAGGTACAAGCAAGACCGTTTGTCAACGGTTGAAACATGCATGGCCGCTCACTGCACGAATCCCCAGCGGCCCCCCTGCTGAGTACAAAGGAATTAGTGAAAGTCTCCTTAAGGACAGCTGTAGACACACGCGCACACGCACACATACTCTCCAGATCTGTAGGAACGATCCCATTCAAGCTGCATGCCGAGGCCCATGTCAACGTCAAATGTTCCTGCCGATCCTACAAGGTAACCAGGTAGGGCTTTATTATTTTTTTTAGGATTCAAGGAAACTCCCTTATGAACAGCTGTTTCCAACAATGGTTCCCGCTGTAGCCACTGTAGGATCATTTCCTCCTGTAAAGGATAACAGTTTGATCCTACAATTTCTTTGTGGGTTTGGCAAGGCTTGAAGTCTTTGAGCTCTGGCAGACGTTGCCCGCAGGCGGTTCGGCAGGAGCTCCCTGACTTGAGGGTGTGGAGAAGTCAGCTGGTTGGAGAAGGCTGCCAATTTGGCTAAGCGACGCGTCCATGCATGTCTCATCCTTGGCAGTGTTGACCTTGATGAATTCTAATAAAAAGATTAGTGTTTTGTAGCACTTGAACGGTTTGTGCTTTCGACAACCCGTAGTTCGGTCCTTCGTGGATGTAAGTGGCGGTGCAGTTTTCGTGCATAAGGGAGTCCAACTCAGCTTGGTGGGAAATGGTTGGAGTTCCTCCACAGATGCTCGTTTGCCCAACAGCTTTGCCGGGCGTGCAACTGTACGGAGATAGCACCGCCATCAGCCTGCCCCCAGGCTGAGCCAATTCCACATTAAGATATAGTACAGCACCTGTTCCCTTAGCTCTGTTGAGCGCTTTGGTTCACGATGGAGGGCTTCACTTGCCACTGAAAGTATACACTCTTATCATTTTAGCCGTGATCCAGGTATGTGTTTAGCAACTGCAGCAACTGGTTGAAGATGCTGCGAGAGGTTCATGTTTGATCCTTTGGTGAGATCAGTCGTGGAAGTGATACCCCGACAGTCTACGAAGAGTCCATTTGCAGAACCTCACATCAGACACCAATTTCGTAATCCACAAGAATGGACAGCAAAAACAGACATCAGATCAGAGAAAAAAACACGGAGACTTTGTGCGTGTGTGTAGTGTAAACATTGCCATGTGCAACTAAACGATTTGTGTTCAACTGGAAGGTGGACGCCTCCCACCTTAAAAGTTTCTTTTGTCCTCCTTGCCCTTTGTTTGCTCAGGTCTCACACTGGGAGTTGCACCTTGCTCTTAGGGCAGCTGCAACAGGCGCGTTTGCAGCCGATGACAGGGCAACCAGCGAACCCGCCCCCTCAAAAGAAGAAAGTGTCGAAACCGACTCGCAGTTTGGTGGGTTGCTTTGGTGTTGCCTGGTTCAGAATAGTTTTGGTACCATGAACGCTGAGGCCGTGCTTCCGGTTGAAGCGAAAGGCCTCCTACAGTACATTTGCTCGGATATAAGCGTGCACAATCCGACTTCCCAGCGGCTCATAACTTTCATTAGCCGAACTGAAGTGCCCCAGAAATGCAGAAGCAGATCAAGAACTGGTTATATAGTTGTTTATGGTAATTACAATAGCATAAAGCCTGGCCTAAATGAATGATGCAAAGAACTGCACTCCAATCTGTTCAATAGTGGAGTATTCTCTCGGTTTCTCCATACAGTTTGCCACTCCAGAGCGCCGATGACACGAGCTGAAGGTGCAAGGTTTGAAACCTCAGGGAAAACTTGGCCCATTGGATTTTCCAGTATCACAGTATGTGCTTCTTGAAGTCATTTTAACACTCTTTGCACTTAACGTTCAACGGAGAGTGAGACCGGTGCCGAGATTGCACGAGCAACAGGTTGAGAGCATGTCTTACAGGAAGTCCAACATCGACCACCGGATAGTGGGAGCTGCGATGTGGGGATTGAGCCTTTCTCCAGGGTCCAGGGACAAACCAATCAAATGCTCCTTCTGGGGAATCCTAAAAGCATCACTCCATACCGCACAGGATATGGTGTCCTTGCTGAACCTGGGTGATTGTGGCATCATGGTGCTGAGGCGCCTTGCAGCCCTGCAAGAGAACAAGGGGCACCAGGCATTGACAGGCACTATATATGTTGACTACTAAATTGTTTCTTTGCAAAACGATTCCTCTCCGCATCTCTCGATTATTTTAGGCCAGCATCAAGTACCCCAAAGTGCGGAATCAGAAAATATCTCTCAGACCTAGACAGTTTTTAAATGTTCAAAACATTTGTATACATGTGTATAATATTTAGGACTCTCCGCGATTCCACACTGGCACATGCTTGTCATTCGACTATTGCACCACATCTACAGACAAAAACTTAAAATTTAAGACCTATTGTATTTTTTTTCGAAGATTTCCGTGATTTCAGTGATGTACAAATGTTCGCAACGAAATCGCCCGACTGAGGCCCATGCAAAAGCTGCCCAGGTTCCATGGCGGCACCGTGACCACTGAGATGCGACACCTCTACAGGCGACGGCTGAAGTGGGCGTCCGAAGCGGAGAATCTGGAGGTCCAGTGCACTATGAAAATATGGAACCATGGATGGTGCTGGTGGATCATTCTTTGGTCCGCCCTCCGCTTGTGTTTGTTTTGGGCGGTGTTTTGGAGGTTCCCTTGGAATCTTACGGAAGTAGGGAGTTAATTGTTCAAAGGGTAAGTATGGCAGACTTTGACCATGTGCTTTGGCAGGGTGGATCTCGCTTTGCTTTTTGTTTTCACTCCTGTTAGCCTGTTAGCTGTAGGAAGTATGCTGCTTTGTTCGCAAACGGAAGTCATCAAACCATTTTGTGTTTGTCCAGAAACCGATCTATGCTGGCTATGCAGTATCATCAAAGAAAAAACTAATGTCATCCACAGCATGGTTCCATTACATGTCATCAGTTTTGTGGAGCCCATCACCATCCTCAAGTAGATAAGAACACGAATGAAACGGGTACTCTTCAACACCATGTCATGCAAAAAGATACAAGAAGCCACTGTTATTCAAAGGATTAATATACCAGACCGAACCTTCGGAATAGACGCCCCTCCGGAGCGTCGTCCGCTTCGAGAGACGCTCCGACCGAAGGTCCACCGCGATGCTCCACCGTCGGAACCTCCCCTTGCAGCTGAGCTCGGAGGTGGGTCGTGGAGGAACTCCTAGTAGCTTCTTGTTCCTAGTAGCGATGCCAGGAGCCCCTAGTAGCGTCCTTGCTCCTAGTGGAGTCAGAATCCAAAGAGGATGAATAAGTTTGGCTTGTGGCTGAATGTCTGAACGTCTTAAAGCCACCCAATCTGGGCAAATATGCCAAGTATGTGTTACTTGTTGGTGTTGTTGTTTGGTAATAGTAATGTCCAACCAAATGCTTGCCCTTTTGCAGGTCACATGGAACATATTGGAACATTGTGTTTCTTTAGAGGATTCTGTGTGAATGACTGCTAGTATATATGACCAAGGCTGGACATCGGATCAGAGACGTGACAAGACCCAAACCTATAGGGGTTCACCAACCAGTCCCATGTACATGTGGGACATTGTGTTATATATTTATGACGATTCCTCATTATGCGATTGGCTTGGCCTGGTCAGATTTGGTCTATAATGTTTGGTTGGAAACTCATTCACAAAGCGATGATCTTAGACCTGGTGCGATGAGAAAGGAATGAAGGAATGAACCAAATAAGTGTCAATATCCGCAGCTGCCATTGGCCACCTGGTGGGAAAAGTTTTGAGTCTTGGCAGATGAGATGTTGGCGGAGAAAAGTTGTCCTTTTTTGTTGATCAGTCCAGAATTGTGGACTCAAAAGGAGTGGCGTGCATGTTCTTGACAAGGAGTGGCCTTGGATATTTTGGCTACTTCATTGGCTGTTGGAAGAAGAACACACAGAAGCTCTAGAACCACACCCTTAACCCGTAACCCTTTGAAACCCCGACCCCAAGAACCCTTAACCCCTCCGCAAAAGACTCTGAAGGCATACCGCCTTCAAGCCTTCAACAGACCGGTTTTCACTTGATGCGAAGGAGGGTACACAGTACACCCTGTGATTTGTGCTCTGTATGTAACCGCAATAAATCATGTGATGTTTGGTCACGACCGGATGTCTAATTTCCAGGACAAGGACTTCTCCAGCCTCGAAGAGCATTATGATTTGGTCACGTGCGCCCCTCCCTGGTGGTGCTTTGGGAGCGGATGTTGGGGAAAGCTGGGGAATGTCATGGACTTCAAAAAGCGATGTCTTCTGAAGTTGTGGGCTTGACTTGCACCGGATAGTTTCTTCAGATGACTTACTTTGCCACTTCGGAACACTCAGCTGAGATGGATTCAACAAGAGGGGTTGGCTCCAGCCCCTATGCTTGTCACGAGAGACCTTCATGCTCTCCCTGATGAACAGTTTATTCACTGGCCATTTCAGGGGTTCTGGATGGGGTCCAGCAAATCTGGAAGAAATCTTGAGATCAACAAATTTCGAGCAATCCTTCTCATAGGAGTTCTGTGTTTTTGTTCACCACCTGGAAAGCTCGGTTGATCAATTGCAGGAAGCATGTCAAAATCATCCCCATGTTTCACCTTGTGAACAACTAAAAACATTTTAGAGGCAGGACCTTTCTCTCTACGATGACTTTCTTGGGACCTTTCTCTCAACTGACCGCGGTGACCGTTCTCAAGCCTCGACGGGCGATCTCTGCGGATCTCCGACTTCCGAGAGGGCGGGGACGGCGCGAGCGGGTCGAAGGAAGCGGGGTCGGTGTGGAACACATATGTTTGACATGACAAGAATCGAAGAGGTGACCTTTGTTTCAGAGGACCTTTTATGCCTATATGTGTTTTTGTTTTAATGGAATCCTTAGAGTCTCAAGTTCGGTCACTTTGGAGCCATGCTTGAAACTTGATTGAACAGAAGCTGTTACTCGTAGCTGTAGCTTTGGCCACGGTTGCTAGAGTCTAGAGGCTCTTTGTAGAGTTGGTCGAGAGAATGGTTCCTTCTACCCAGGCTCCATGTCGAAGGTCAGTTGAGGTGGCTAAGGATTCTTTGGCAAAAGATGTGGGTCGGTTTGGTGGAACTCTTGAGATTTGCAAAGCCCGCTGTGCACTTTGGGCGCGAGACCACTGAACATAGTCCGCTCGTCGAAACCAGGAAACACATTGGGGTTGGATCGCCCAGTTCGGTCTCCTGTGGTCTATGGGTTGGATTTTCTTCGATGCTCCCTTTTGCATATTTTTTTGCTCTAGGTCTTGTGGGGCCAACATTCAAACACAGTCTAGACCCAAAGGATCACGAATACATGAATGTCTCCAAGGATAGCCACTGTATTCTCCAAGTCCGTAGTGGTTCAATCATTCTACCATCCTATGACCATCACCTGTGTTTCTATATTAATTATATAATATTGCATATATATCTAATCATAATATATATATATAACAATATTGACAGAGCACGAACCATCACGAAGCAGTTGCTGGTGGTTCTATTTGCTTCCAAAACCTACAGCTGTGTCGGTGCCGTAGCCTCACTGGGGAGGCCCTAAAAACCGGTCGCCAGGTTCGCGATGGCCTCCGAAGACGCGGAGGAGGAAACGGCAGACAGACCCAGATGAGGGTGGGCAATCTGGGCAGGCGACTGTGGTTTCGACTCCCTCCGAAGAGATCACATGGAAGTGGATGGCATGCCACCATTTGGAAGATTGCTTTACTTGACAAACGGATGGGGTCCACTTCTATCGTGAAGAACCACTATGACACATACAGTAATGACCAATGATAAATCTCTCACCATTGGAGTTGGATGTCCTTTTTCCACATACAAGGGGTTTTGCCAGTTGCTAGTGGCAACTGGAGACGACTATTCTCTGGGGAGTTTCAACTCGCACACTGATAAATGGCTTCCAGCTGCCCCTGGGGCTCCCTTTTGCACACAAACATTGGACTACTCCAAACATCCCTGCTCGTGTGAGGCTAGGTCTACATCAGTTTAAGTGTGTCCATTCTTTTGTGGCTGTCCGTTAAGTCTCCTGAGCAGCTGAGACATCTCTTCTGTAAAGCTTCATGCTAAATGAAGATCCTAAACCACTATAGCAAGGAACAAGGAACAAGTTTCCCTAAAATCTAGGAACCAAATGAATAGTGCGATCGTTTCTTGAAGGAGGCTACCCCCGGCCCTCCGGCAGGGGAAGCTTCCTTGAAGAAGCGTGAGCTATCCTGCGTCCAGCAGGTAGTAGTAGCTTATATATGTAATTCTACTAGCCACCTTGTTAATACCTCTTAGCGGCCTACCCCCGCCGCACAAAAATGGAACATCAAGGAACAAGGAACCACTATGTAAATCCGTTGATACAGACCTGTCACAAACCGTCCAGATCCATGTGGCACGCAGTCTGGAGCTGCCGGTTGAGGGTTGTTTGTAATGAGAAGATCCTTGATTGAATTAAACATAGTATTTAAGTTCTATTTTACTAATCTTTAGGAGGGGTAGAGGGAGGTAGTAGCAAGATAGGTAGCTAGTAGAAGCTAGGTAGCTAGTACCTTACTAGGATGCTACTACCCAGGATGCAGGATAGCTCAGGCTTCTTCAAGGAAGCTCCCTCGCCGCCCTAAAGGCGGCGGGAGAGGTCTTCCTTGAATAGCTCGCACCACATATTCATTTGGTTCCTACATTTTAAGGTGCCGGACAATTAGTGGGATATACTTGCAATGATAGAACGGTGCTTTTTGTGCCCTTTTCAGAAGATCATCTATCGAGAAGTGAAACAATGGCTTTTGGGTGGCTATGTCAGGCTATGTTCCCTTTCATTTTTGCAGCTAGGGTAGGCTCGACAAGCGGCGGTCATTTTGATTAGAAGGGATCGGAAAAAGACTGTCCTGAGAAAATCTTAGAAAAGTGGGCGCCGAACCCTCAGCAGCTTGCAGGTTCAAGGGATACCCTCCTGGCCATTGGTGGCGTCTCCGGTCAAATCAAAAACACATCGTGATGAAGGCAGATGAAGGCATGGATTCGAGGTAGATATGTCTCGTCATATAAAAAAGGTCACACTGGGTACACACCCTCAGCAAACATGGTTCTGGAAACTGTCCACTTGGAAGACTTTGTTCCATTACAAACAGAGAACACCTGTCTCTACAAACTGGGGGGGTCTACTACATGAACACAGGGGTTTAGTTTATATATACTGTATATATATATATGTATATCCACCACAACCTCTCCTTGCCGTGCATGCAAACACACCTGTGCAGGGGGATTGAGCACCGCCCGCACAGCCACTCAGCGAGGCCTTGGTTTGGTTCCCCATCAACCAGTCAGGCCTTGATCATGTTGAGGCAGGGTGGGGAGGACAGATGGAAGAAGGGAGGACAGGGTCCCACTGGGTTGGCGGTTGGATATCAGTCCCTAGCGGCTGAGGAACTGACCACGTCAAGCAAGCTATTTTTGCTGTCAGATGTTTTGAATCGTCCCAGATTGACGCTATGTTATTTGCGCCGGTTCGCACGTTCGCTTGACTTACCTTGCCTGCTTCAAGCTGTTGGCGCATGCGCCAAAGTCCAGGATAGAATGGGCTTTGATAATCTTTGATACATTGGACAAGCGTCTCTTGCGGCGTGTGCTCCAGAATTCCAGGGATTCTTAAACATAAACAAGCCGCGAAGTGTAAGGAATTTAATGTTGAATTAGCAATAGTAAACTCCCCCTCCCCCCCTATGAAAAAAGAACAACTATTTCTATTTTTTCGGGGTAGGTCAAAACTCTCAACCTCAATATAAAACCTCCAGGCCATTTGGCAGAGGGGATGTGGAGTATGAATTGAAAGTAATCCAAAATCAATTTCCCCAATTGAATTCCAATTGCAGGGGGGTTTATTATTGTAGGCTGTAGGTTGGGTTATATTTGCAGGGGGGTAGAAGTCTAAAGGGGTACCCTTTAAGCCTTTGAAGATATTTTGTATAAGGCAATCTAAAGCTTTTGGCTAGCCAAGTTTTTAGAAATCTGATGGGCAAAGATAAAAAGGACAGATCCCACAAAAGAAGAAGAAGAAGATAGGAGAAATTACAAGTAAAAGGCAGATTGGGATCTGACCAGAAAAGGCTTGTTATTATCGTCTCATGTTTATAATTGACTCGTCAAAAAAAACATACTGTATCCATTTTGGGTTCTGGATGTTTATGCAATTAAAAGTAGTATTCAAAATTCTGGCAGGCCAGAAAAGCTTATTATTATTGACTCATGGTTTATTGCTGCTAATTCAACATTACCAGAGGTTGGTAGGATAGTTTACATACTCGCTATAGCACGAGATCTCACCAGAGTTGCTCGCAGCAGCCAGGAGAGTGAGGCCGACAGGCCATGGCACCGTATCATGTGGGCGGGTGGGTTGGAAAGAGGTTTGTGACAGGGTAGTTTATAGTTGTTGACAGGGAGTTGTAATCGTTGCTTGATTGATTTTTGAGGGCGACAAGAAAGGCTAAGTTTGAGAAGTTTTGACACATCTTGACCAACTATCACAACTTGTGCCATCATCTTAGCTGCTGGGTGAGAATTTCTCTAGGAACAACTTGCCAGTCATAACCCGGCCCAGCTGAGCCATGCTTGTTCATCCAGTCTTGAGAATCATCCTTGACGGAATCCTTGACCATTCTGTGTTGAAAGTTACCTAGTGCTGTAGCATGTATCATAGCAGAGCCATGCAGAGCCTGTACTAATAAAGGACATTTAACACCAACATCAACGACCTCACCTGCTGTTCAACTACTGGCAGCGCAGCAAAAATAGTAGCGTTCTTGTTCCTAGTAGTAAGGCCAGGAGCCCCTAGTAGCGTCCTTGCTCCTGGTAGCGATGCCCTTTGCTCCTAGTAGCTTCTTTCTCCTAGGGTGTTCGGTACCCTGGCAGTTCACAGGCAAGACCTGAACAGAATGGTCGATCCACCGTTCAATGCTCACCGGCCGCAGGTTGTATAGGAGGGCGGTACTTGTATCAAGGCACCCCACCCAAGACATTTTATATGTACAAAGAATTGTTACAGGTTAAGAACCATGTGCAGGCTCTTTAAACGAATCTTTGAGGAACGTGTTAGAGAACTTATTATTGTCTTTTCCTCTCGAATGATACATGTGCCCAGGCAAGATGGTACTGTGCCCCAAAGACGGAAGCTGGGATGCTCAGT